ATAAATAATAATTATATAAATAAAACAAAAAATAACCAAAAAAAAACTTAAATACATACTAATAAATCAAATAGCATAGCAGATCAAGACACAATTGAGAATGGAGACAATAGTGGTAGAAGTTTGAAAGTGAATGACTATAAACTGAAAAAAATAGTGAGAAAAGTCGAAAAAAAAAGGGGGGAAAAACACTATATCCCACCTAATCACACCTCAAATCAAAGAAATAGTTAACGTACTTATAAAATACCCTTCAATAATCACCCAAATCAATTGCAATGCATGGTGGTGGATGGGTAAGGCAAAAAAGAGCTCAAACAACACTGAACTACTTTCAAAATTAGAAAAGAGAGAAGACATGGTGATGAAGGGGGGATGAGGGCTATTTTGGTCATTCACCTTAACTGAAATAATGGAAAAGATGGTGGCACCCACACTTGCACCTATCAATCAGTTGTAGCACATACACTTCAAACAAACATACTAACCGAAAACTATGAAAAGCTACAATGCACACTAATTCAATCAAACACACTAACTGAAACAATTTGAAAAAGTCGAACCAGCCACCTGTTGCCATCAAATCACTTCAAGCTTACATTTCAGTCATTGAATTTGACAAAAATGGTTCTGCAAAATCTAGTTACCAAAAGTCAAATCAGTGCAAACCAATATTTCAGTCATATTACCTGACTGAAACGTGAAGGAAAACTATAAAGAAAACTTGCTTCCATCAAATCAATTTAGTTGGTCTATTTCAATCAAGAAGTTTGACCAAAGTAAACATATTATATTAAACGAAAGTTGGATGGATTTTTGTGTTATTGTTTCGGTCAGTCTATTGGACCGAATAAGGGTGGTAATGGTTTTAATCAATATTCTTGACCAAACAGCTTATGGCGCCAATTCTCGCCATTAAATTTCAGTCAAAATTTTGACCAAATTAGTTTTTAACTAAATGAATACAAGAATTAGGTTTTATATGGATAGATTGTGATTTAGATCAATAAATATGCCTGAAATGGTCATTATTTCGATCAAGAGTTTTGCTTGACCAAAAAAGTTTGTCCAAAATAATGAATTTGCTAGTAGTGCTCAATAAAGGAGGTGCGATGTATATGAAAAGATGATGGAGTTGCTATTGAGGGTGCCAAGAGGATGGAAACAAGATCAGGATGATGATGATGAGCAAAAAATGGTGATGGTAATCGAAGAATGGTAACAAGGTGGGGGTGGTGTGGTGGCTCCAATTGGAGATCCTAGAAGGAGAAGAATCTAGAGCTTTTTATTATTATTATTTTTGGTTTCTTTGTTCTCTCCTCCTCTTTTTTGTGTGGCTTGCCTATCTCCTCTTATCTATTCCTTCCCAAGTAAAAGAAAGGAAGCCAAGGTTTTATTGTTGGTTTAGGCTGAGCTTGGGTTGGGCCTTGATTAAAGGTTTGTAGGCCGTTTAAGATAGGTTTGAGGTATAAACGGGCTAAGCTTCAAGGCTTTTGCATAATTTTTGTAATTTGATCTTGAACTTTAACTTCCTTCGATTGAGTCCCTTTTCTTGAATCTCTTTTCCAATCTATTCTTGAAATTTTCTTGTGCATGTTGAACTTGAAACAAAACTAAAATATATCAGTTAAAGAAAAGCAAGAAAGAAGAATTCATATATATATATATATATATTTACATTTT